GTTTACTAATCAGGAGCCAACATTACAGCAATCTGAAGACGGAGGGCACCGTTTGAGTCATGAGACTGGCCCGGGGTCAGCTTCAGGTTGTCGTGCGCGAGCATGAGATGAGAAGTTGGGTTACGTGGTTCAGGGACACCCTAAACCCTAAATTTAGCTGGACCTTCTTGTAGTATGCGCCTAGAGGTATGCCCCTAGAGTCCCTCTACAGTATGGCTTTAAACATAGCCCAATAGTAGTAATAGCAGTGTTAGTAGCAGGGGTGAGACTGTTACGTAGGATTAATTCTGTTTCATCTCCAAGCCCAAAATCTTTAAGCGATCCGACGCTGCCAGGTTGTGGTCACCTACAAGAGCGACGCTTTGCCGGCGGCTGGCACGCAAGACGTTTAGGGCTTCTTGAAGGTTCATGGGTTTAGGGGGNNTTGGGTTTAGGCTCAGGGGTCAGGAGTATAGGGGTTTAGGGTTTTGGGGGGGAATCGGAATCTGGGTTCAAGGTCTGGGTCCATGGCTTGCTGCAAGACGTCTTGGGCAGAATGGGCGCTATTCATGCAATAACATCATGCGAACAACAGCTCTCTCGGCCCAAATGGATGCTGATATCCGAGGGTGGCAACTTAGTCCATCGCTTCGGTTACTAAGCTACGCCCTAAATGCTACACCCGCAACCCACCTCCAAGCGTCCCAAACTCAAGAAAAAAGCCTAAACCCTTATACCCGCCCCGTAAAGAAATCTGATCCCTGAATGCTATTGGGCCCAAGATCCGTCGGAGGCACAGTTGTGGAATCAGCTGTCGCTGTTCGTCGGGCCATTCCAGCAGGTGTGGAGGGCTTTGAATCTACCTATAGTCTGCATTGGATTTGTTTTGGGTTTCGCCAGCTGTATGTATTCAGAATCCTATAAGGTACCCCCCCCAACAGGAAAAGAGGGTCTAAGATTCTGGATCGAGGGTGCCGCTGAGAAGTTTAACTCTAAGGACTTTAGGAGGGACCCCTAATAGGGACCATTAATCCCATTACCTTAAATAACCATTGTATAGTCAGTCTGTATATACCCCTTATATAGCCAGGTAGTCTCTATATTAACCCCAATAACCTACAAGGGTCCCTATTAAGGGTCCCTCCTAAAGCCCTTGGATCAACGGGGTTTGATGCTGCGTGCCTAAACTATAAAGCCTAAACCCTAAACCCTAAACTTTACGGTAAGGGTAGCAATGTCAAGGTGATGCAAATGCCCCCGACAAGGACTAATGGGGAGATTTGTGATCTTATCGAAGTTTGCTTGATCCAAGAAGAGTGGAATGCAAGCACAGTGGCAACGGAGAGACGTTTACTTCGGATATTTTTTGGATTTTACAGTTCAGGGCTTTTCGTTAAGGGTTGTCGTTGCTTTGTCAGGTCAATCTTTTCTGAGATTCTGGTCGGCTCGGCAGCATGTTGACAAGGTTGGAGGAGCTATTTGCAATTTGCGGTGTTTCAATACTACACACCAGGCTTCTTGTACCCTGAAAGAGGGGTATATGGTCCCAGATAAACGAGGGTAGATGGAGGATCTAGGCATAGCGGTGAAACATTCCGACACTCAAAGCCAATATTTCAGAACGATGAGAAAGTGGAACCCTCCATCAAATCCCAAACCTTGCGCAGGCAACCGTAACCGGTCTTCACAAGCAGGAAATAAAGACAACACACGCACCCACACACACACACACACACACACATCACGATGCATGTTTAAGAACTACATCCTTCTCCAGGTCACGGTCGCCTCTCCTCGCCCGGATTTGGAGATGCTTGACGTCACGATGGGAGTTGTCATTTGCGTGTTCGTGGTATCTATCACCCTACTGATACCGCTACTGCTGCTGCTGCTGCTGCCGCTGCTGCTCCTGCTACTGCTGTCGCTACTGCTACGACTGCTGCTACAGCGACGACGACTGCGACTATTGCTGCGAGGACTACCACTACGATTCTGCGACTGCGGCTCCGACTCTACTGCGACTACTACAAGACCCTAAAACCCTAAACTCGAAATCCTAAACTTAAACCCGAAGCCCTAAACCCTAAACTCTGAAGGCCTAAACCTTCAGAGCCAAAGCAACGGCCAAGGACTGAGCCGCTCCAGCAGGTCTACCTCATGATGACGATCGTATCTGGAGCTGGCAAGGCGGGGAGATTCTAGAGAAGGTTCGAGGGCGATGAGTACAAGGAATCAGGGTGTTGGGGTTCGGTTTTCTAGGTTGCAGGTAGTTAGGATGTCTTATTCAGGACTTGCTGACTTGGACGCTGGCGCTCAAACTGTAGGACATATTGAGTCTCAGGATTCGCATGCCCGGTAGGAAGCCCTATACCCCAAACCGAAACCATAGAGTCTTTCTGGCTTGGGTCTTCAGGTTTGGTTTTAGGATAATGGATGGGGGACGCGGGTTTAGATTTAGGGTTTGTGGCCTGGGGTTGGATGTGTATCGAAAGCTTGCTTTATTCCCATGCTCTAGGTTTTCAAAGGCATGGCGTCATGGGGTCCTTGGGGTACCGGGGTTTTGTGATCTTCTGTTCAGGTCCGGTTCCTGGTCGTTTGAGTGGTTTCGTTGCTGATGTTCTTCTTGTTGAGCTGTGAAGTATGATGGCCTCATTAACCCGATATACAGGTATCTTAGCTCCTGTATGGAGGTTCGGGGCACTCACAACCTATTTATACTAGCCCTACTTATAACCGATTTTCTCTAGGTCTTTAACATAGGGATTTATCATTGGGTTCAGATTGGGAAACAAATTCAGTTAGGGTCAGGTGACAATAGGTACCCCGGACTGCCAAGTACAAGCCCTATAAACCCTTTAAAACGGCCCTTCAATTAAATCCTTGAAACTTTCTGGTTAATCCCATACACCCTAAAGTAGGGGCTGTTTAATGCCCTAAACCCTAAACCCTAAACCCTAAACCTCAAACCGCCTCGGCGCAGGATCTGCCACTTCAGCTGTCCATCGCCGGAGCGCAGGTCGGCGTTGCCTCGGTACCGATCTCCTTTGCACCCCCCTTTGCGACTCGACTCGGGTGTGCGGGCTTCTTAGAGGCCTCTAGGGTTTAGGGTTTAGGTTTAGGGTTTAGGGTTTAGGGTTTAGGGTTTAGGTGAGATGAAACCCTAAACCCTGGACCCTAAACCCTCGTAGGTGTGATGTTCACCCTATATGTGGCAGTTATGTTCACCTTGTTGCCAGTGTAATCCTATATGTGGTTGGTGCTGGACCCGTCAAGCGGAGAAAGGGCCATTACACTTTAAAACAAAAAGTTGACAAATCTAAACCCTAAACCCTAAACCCTAAACCCCAAGCCCTAAACCCTAAGAGCCCTAAACAGCTATTGTTATATAAGCGCTCCCCCACCTACCTTCATCCCAGCTTTGGAGCCCTTTGAGTTGGTAGCATGGGGGGGCCTCCGGGGTTGGGTGTTTCGGGCTTTGGGGCTTTAGGGGTTGAGGGGTTTAGAGGTTTAGGGTTTTGGTTTAGGGTTTAGGGTTTCGGGTTTGGGGTTTCGGGCTTTAGGGGTTTAGGGGTTTAGGGTGTCAGACATGTAGGGTCGGGGGTTTAGGGTTCGAAGGGTTTAGGGTTTAGGGTTTGCAAAGACAAATTTGCGATAGGGCCTAGGGGTTTTGGCGGGCTCAGTGTGACTGTATGTCTTAAAACCCGCTGATTTGGAAATCATGCCCCCTAAGCCGTATACCCATGCCTCCAGAACCCAATCCCCTGAACCCAAGCACATAAACCATTAGTTTGAAAGTCGGGGCTCACCATGCCCACGAACTCGCGATCCGACCTGGTGTGTTTTTGTTCAGGCGTTCCTTTCTGTGTTTTTTTAAATCATGCTCTGAGGGTTAAGATGGCTTCAGGGTTTAGGGGGCCTTTTTCTTTCAGTAAGGCCGAGGCGACGTGCACTCATAGTCTTGAGCAGGTCTGTTTAATTGGAAATAGTGTCCCTTGTAGTCCATATTAACATGTGGGTAGTTTTCTAAATTAGGGTCCCTTTTAGGGTCCTTTTTATAAGGGTGCCGTATTATATTGGGGACCTAAAAGGGGACCCTAATTTAGAGAATTACCCATGTACAAAACCGACACCCAGGTCACTTGCCTTTCCGCTGTTGGCTATGGCCAGTGCAGCACCGATGAGCGGGAGCAAGAGCAGGACCGGATTAGACAGGGGCCTCAAAAGGTGGGATGAAGGGTTTAGGGTTTAGGGTTTAGGGTTTAGGGTTTAGGGTTTAGGGTAGGGGATGAAGGGCCCTTAGTCTCCAAGATAACCCTGAGCCCTAAACCGGGATCGCCCCACCTACCTTCATCCCACCCTTCGGGTTTGGGGCTCAACGTGCAACGCCGAGGTTGCAATTTTCCAGTGGGACTAGGCCTGGAGGGTAATTATGGGATTTAGGGTTTTAGGGTTTAGGGTTTAGGGTTTAGGGTTTAGGGTTTAGGGTTCAGGGTTTAGGGGTTTAGGGCCCAGGGAACCATACTCTTCATGCAACATCGCGCCCAACGAGCCCCAGTTGCCCATCTTGTCGGCTACCTACTGTCTCTACATAACCCCTCGGGCTCCAAATATACAAATAGTATCTACTTTGGGCTCTAAAGACTGCAGATAGTACCTACTTTGGGCTACTTAGAGCTGCAGGGAACTTCCATAGCATAGCAATCCATTGTAACGAGGCCTGGTCTCCGGGTGCTTGTTACTGCGAGCATGTGTTTTGGTGTACCAAAGCATTGCGATATCCGTTCTCGAACTGCTAAATAGATTATCGGAGTTGTCCCCCTTCTCGTCCTTCAATAATTGCACAGGAACATCACCCAACACCCCATTCTAAGTACAAAAGTTCGGATACTTGGTAGAGTCGGCTTGCGCTTGTATAGTTCATGAGACTTGATGGCGCGGTGACCGCAGGTCTACGTCAGCACCGTTGGCGAAACGATGCTCTATGCGAAAGGTGTCTTGTCCTGTCTTGTGTGGGCAGTAGCAGACATAGGATGCAAGTCCTGTACGTGCCTGAATAATTAACCATGTTGTGCCTTAGGTTCCTTATTATAATTACGCCATGGTACACACCAAAACGCCTAGTCTGAATGTTGAGGCCCTTGTAGGGCCTAAACCATAAGCCCCATGAGTCCCAAATCCCAAGACCTCGAACTCCAATCTTTACCCCAAAGCACTACTTGGAGGGTCGGGGGACTTAGTAAGTAGGCAATATATAGACTTCTAAGTACCCTAAACGGGGTTTGAAGTGGGGTACTCATAGCATAAGTCTGTGAAACAACTACTTACTAAGTCCCCCGACCCTCCTTTATGGAGTCAATATAGATCCCTCTGAGGATTCTGTCAAGGAGCCCTACTTACCAAGTCCTCCCAGTAAACCCTAAGCCCTAAACCCTACACCCTATCATCGCTTTGACACAGAGTGGTGTCCCTACACACTGGCCGCAAGTTGCTCGCTCGGTCTTGTTGGGTGGTCCTCCTTTTCCCACCAGGGTCCTAAGTACGTACCTATGCTTACCTAGCCAGTAGGAGAACGTTAAAGTTGTTGGTTTGTTTATACCTGGTCTATCATAGAAAGTTTCATCTTTTTGGAGCCCGGTTCTTGAAGAAGAGAGTATATGGGGGATCTTTACCCAAACCAGAATGGTAATTCCTACTGTAAAAACCCACTTTCTACTATTGAAAACTTTGTCATGTAACGGGAGGTGTAATGATTAGATACTGTTGATGATCTAGAGCCTGCATTGCCTTAAGGACCCTAAACTATGGGAATTATGGTATATTCCTTATTATGGGCAATGCGGGATTTATATCATCAACCGTGTCAATAGTTTAAACCTCAGGTTCCACGGGCTCATATTTAAAGGCTCTTGGGCCCAAAGAACATGCTATATAAGGCTTTTGGGCAAATATCAGCCTTGGGGTAGAAATAGCGGGTCCTTACGATCCATATAGGTTTACTAGACTGTACTGTACTCTACTCCACGCTACCATACTATGTTATGCTGTACTAAACTATACTCCTATACACTAGACGCTAGCGACACGATAGACGCTAATTATGATTCACTATATACACTACGCTTGTTTTCTGCACCACACTATATTCTACTCTAATTACTCGACTCTGCTATACTATACCCCGAAGCTCTATTCTCAATAATATCGCTCTTATAGAGCCCTGTTCATCACTATACTTGTGACCCAGCCTTGCGACTCGCATGCTTTGCGGAAGCGGAGTGTTGCGTGCCACGAGGTTTCACTGTATGCTTTGCCTTATAGGAAAGCTTACACTTTAATGTTCATTCATGACCCTATGTTTTTTGCTTTCTAGTAAATTTAATGTCTGACCCCTATCTGTAGTAGTACTAGAAAACCCGAAATTCGACTCCCTATTCTGAATGACTATCTCACACCTCTACTCAACTCTAGCCAGGACATACCTGAGCGGCACAACTCTTCGTTCCGGAAAAACGCCCGAAACCCCAAACCCCTCGCACTGGAAGCCTCGAGTACTAACCGGTTTAGGATTTAGGGTTTAGGGTACTAGACCGAGAATTCCTCCAACAATATAGGAGTTTTATTAATAATTACTTTTTTTTTGGGGGGGGGGGGAGTCCTTATTATAGTTATAGTACCATGGGCCCCAAAATCAGATTCTAACTTTTTCAGGCCCCTGCATTTCCTGCAGAGTCCGGTTTTTGACATCTGTAACACAGCCAGCCCTCAAGCGCTACTAGCCCTAAACCAATAAGGTTATGACACCGTCATCACTTATATCCGTGCTGCATGAGCCCAAAATCCCACAGCCCCTAAACCGTAAACCCTAAACCCCAAAGCCCTAAAACATAAACCCGAAACCCCCAAGCCCTAAACCCTAAACCCCTAAACCGTAAACCCTGAAACCACCAAGCCGTAAACCCTAAACCCCTGAACCTTAAAGCCTTTAAAGGACACCCCCAAGCCTCACTCTTCAATCGCGAGGTGGGAGTTTCCGAAATAAAGTACCCCTTCTTTTCGGCAACTTCCAGGTGGCTTCGGGGGCCATGAGAGCCTTGCGAGCCCAGGCCACTCCGGGCGAAGGGTTCAGGGGGCTTAGGGGGTTTAGGGTTTAGGGTTTAGGGTTTAGGGCTTGGCGCGCACTTTAATACGGTTGATGATAAAACAAAATCCTGCATTACGCATAATAAGAAATATACCATTAATCCCATGGTTTAGGGTCCTTCGGGGAGTGCAGGATTTAATATCATCAACAGTACTGTGAGTGGGTCAGGGCATGGGATCCAGCAGGGTTTCAGACTCCGGCTTCGTACTCAGCTATATTCGAAGCTCTGCAGGTCCCTAAATAAACCCTAAACCTTACACGCTACACCCTAAACCGTTCAGGTATGCTACGACTTTCAGTGACGCAGGGGGGCAACACGACAGAGCTGTGCGAGGACGGCTTGCTGAGATAAGAGGGGTTTAGGGTTTAGGGTTCAAGGTTTAGGGTGTAGGGTTTAGGGTTTAGGGTGAGAGACTCTTCAGAATAAGTGTGTAGGAGCCACATATGCTTCTTCTGGAGTGGGATTGGGAAACGACAACTGCCTACTTGCCAGACAGAAAACCTGCGTACTCGTGCAGTAAGGGCGGCCTCGTGCAGTAAGGGCAGCTTCAACTGTACCCCTACCCCTCAGCATTAAAAATAGCCCCAAAAGCCTTATATTATAGGGTCTTTGTGCCCAAACGCCTTATATCATAGGGTCTTTGGTCCAAAGGCCTTGAAATATGAGTCCTTTGAGGGTAAGGGTGCCTGTATGAAGCCAGGAGCCTTGGATGTTCGATCCGCGCACTGGGCGTTGAGTGTAAGAGCATTAGTTTCAGACTCTATTGTACTGATAAGGTTGAAAAGTTCGAGTGCTTATGACTGCTGTTACCGTTGCTGTCGTCGTCGTTGTTGTTTCTGTTCTCATTATTATTATTATTAGTATTATTATTACTATTATGATTATTGTGTACGTCGGGCTTTGCCGCCCCCAGAAAGCCAGGTTTGAGCTCCAGACCCTAAATATGAAGGCTTTCGCTTAACGTTTGAGACCAGTAAACCGTCCACCGGACAGCCTTAAGGTTTGGGGGTCAGGGTGGATAGGCTTGCGTGGTGCCTGGATGCTACTATAGGGGCCTTAATAATTAGAATAGGCTTTTGGGGGTGCATCATTATAGTCATAGTATACCCCAAAACCCTATTCTAAATTATTAAGGCCCCTATAGTATGCTCTTCGTGCTGGTGAAGCTTCTGGAACCCTTCAACATACCCGAAGCACGAAAGAGCACACACCCTGGTCCCGAATTACCCAGCTCTGAACCGCAACCTCGACATCGGCTTTAAGCTACATCCTCGCAATAACCACAGAAGTTAGAACTCAATACTTCTAAGCCCTACACCCTAAACCCTTAAACCTAAGCTTCCCACGTACCTCAGCCGCACGGCTAAACTGAACCAGCCCCCCGATTTGGGTGTTGGGGCTGCTAGGACTCAACAGAAGCTTCAGAGTTTGGTTCACAGTTGCCGTTTGGGGTACCCAGAGAGCCCAATACCCCTTAATTAAGGAATATACCTGAAAATATAAGGGCTTCCATATTATGATTTGAGCTATATTCCTTAATTAAGGGGTATTGGGCTCTCTGGGTAATTAGGTGGTGTAGAGTTGAAGCCCCGCAGCTTCTTTTACCGGGGTCTTTGGAGCCCGAAATCCCTATGATATGAGTCCTTAGACACTTACCCTAAACCCATCTGAACCCCTCAAAAAAACCCTAAACCATAAACCCTAAACCCCTATACATTGAGGTGTAAAGTAAAGAATATTCAAAAGCTGCAGAAGCTCAAATAAGCCCTAAACCCCAAGGGTGCGCTTCGGAGGACTCCGGTTGGGTGAGCTCCACGGAGATGTGGTGCCGTCTGGTTCCCAAAGGGGCCACGCCCCTGGTGATGTACGTCCTCGGACCGATGAATCAGAGCCTCGCCAGCAACATCGTTCGTGGACAACCCTAAACCCTAAACCCTAAACCCTAAACCCCGCAGAACTATCTTGGGTTTGGCTGCTCGGGTTCAAGGATCCAGGGTTTAGGGTTTGGGGTTTTGGGTTTAGGGAGGGTACTTTGTAACGTCGTTAAGCAATATGGTGCCTACCAGGGCATCATGTATGGAACTGGGGTCGATTTGGCGAGTTCCGGCCTCAGCCCTAAACCCTAAACCCTAAACCCTTTCAGCTTGGCGGTTTCGCGACTTAGGGTTCCAGGGCCAAGAACTGTACCTGCCTTTCTCTGCGAAGAGCCTGAATTTAGATCTGAACTCTTGCCAAGAACCTCCAAATACCGGCTACTATACCTGCATTCATTAAAGGTTACTTGGGGGGTCCTGCCAAGGTTCGGGTTTAGGTGTTATTTGTTTAGGCTTCTACCCCACAGTCTGTCTAGGACATTATCAGATGGGTAGTTACCGTTATAGGA